TTTTTTTTCATTCAATAATATGTGAGAATTATGTGTATAATACTTGAATTTTGTGTGTCTTATTGAAATTTTTGTAAAAAATACATGTATTAAACACCCAAACGAAAATATATAATTTATTTTTTTGACTTCCATTGAACTTCAAGCACTTACTATTTGTTAAGTCATTTGTGATTTCAGTAACATATAAAGAAACAATAATTAAAACATAATTACTAATTAACCACGTGTCAAAAAAAGTAACGCTGCGCGGCTATACTATTTTTAAAACAAATTAGGAAAAATGAGTATAGCCGGACGGCTATACTATTTTTTTAAAAAAAATTAGTAAAAAGGAGTATAGTCCATGTGTCAAAATAAGTATAGCCGTTCGGCAATACTATTTTTCAGACACATTAATAAAACCGAGTATAGCCGCCCGGCTATCCTATTTTTATAAAACAAAATTTAAAAACTGGGTGTTACCGCCCGGCTATACTATATAATACATAATGGACCCTGCCAGCGCTTAGGGGCCACGTGTCAAACCAGTAAAGCCAGGCGGCTATACTATATATTTTTTTAAACAATTAAAAATCCGGGTTTAGCCGGACGGCCGTACTATTCTTTTTTAAAATTTTTTTTATTAAATCCGAGTATGGCCCTGTAGCTAAACGATTATAGATTTTAATTTGCTAGTATTTTGTGTGTCTTATTGAAATTTTTGTAAAAAATACGTGTATTAAACACAAACGAAAATAAGTTTTTTTTTTTTGACGTCCATTGAACTTTAAGCACTTACTATTTATAAAGTCATTTGTGAAATCAGTAATATATAAAGAAATAATAATTAAAACATAATTACTAATAAAAGTAATTCAGAAAGGCTAAGATATTACTTAATTATATATATTAAATTAAAGAAGTTGGCCAAAAGAACAAAAGTAAAGAAACTAATTTTATATTTTCAAAACAAAAACAAAAGAACAAAAAACCTCTCCCGACGAAAGTTCGTCGGCACAGGTCTATGCCGGCAAAATAAAAGGACACGCCTAGTGCCAAGGTGCCACATGTCAAAAAAGTAAAGCTGCACGGATAAGAAATTGCATTAAGGGGATTGGCTCAGAAGTTGTTGTACAAGATGGACAACTAGTTGTTTCGCCAACTCCTCCCGTAGACATGTCTTTAATTAGGGGCGGAGCTAGAGTTTTTAGTTTACGGACCAAAATATAAAGTGCAGGCATTAATTAGATTGATTTTTACAGATTGAAAGAGTCTGATACCACAGCTTTCTTCTTTTGAAAAACACATCATCTAAAATATCTAAACATTGGGGTTGGTAATTGATAAGATTGTTGTAGCACTTATGGTTCAAAGATGTCTGGGACAAGAGTTGGAACACAGAATATGTAGTTGGAGATTATATTTTGTCTTCTCTGCTTACTTTTACAAAGTGAAGAAGCCCATGGAACTGAATATGTAGTTTGAGATGACAAAGACTGGGACATGTATCCTAAGATATACGATTGGGGGAAGATTTATTCTCTGATTATAATCTATTCTTCAAAAGAAAATTTTAATTGAACTCATCATGTTCAACTAATTTGATCCTTCAATCAAAATTTGAGGTTATATTCCAATTTCGGTTATAATTTATTTTATCATGTTATCAAATTTTAAGGTACATTGCAACTTTGAGTAATACTTCCGTTAGTTTTGTTTTCCGACAGGCGAACTTAGCCACTCATAGATTAGCTCGTTTCGCCTTATCTTTAAATGATGCATCATTATGGTATTCGGATCCTCTTAATTAACATCATTCAAGATATGAAATGTTTCTTTGGTTTAATGTAGAGTTTTCAAATATAGCAATCCATTATTTGGTTTGGCGACTGTGGATAGAGAAGGGTATGAAAGTTTGCAGCCTAAAAGGTCATTGTCAGAAGTTAATACTTCTCTGAGAACGATCATGTGGTGTTAGAGTAAGACAAAGACGTATAAAGTAGAGCTAAAAATCTTTCAAATACAAGTGAACTTATAATATTTGCTGAGTTATGAAATTACTAGTCTAGATTAAAATCCCACCAATGTCAGGAAAAATATGGTGATGTCTCTCAGGAATGGCACGTGGAATACGGTGGGGGCCAACGAAAAAGGGATGCTTAAGTGCCTCTGCAGCAGTCGATCTTTTAGCAGGATCCCAAGAAAGAAGGGAAGTAATAAGCTGAATTGCAGACTCACTGGCAGATGGGATGCAAAATGAAAGACCATACCCAGAAAACTGTGGAAACTGATACTCAACCTGCCCTGCAAGAATTTGCCCTTCAGGCCATGACTTCATGGTTGGGCTGCCTAGCACACTACAAATCCAAAACAGCTGGCCCTCCACACTTTTACCTGGAAGCAGAGGGCGGAGGTTGAACATCTCAGCCAAGATTACACCCACAGCCCACATATCAACCTTGGAATCGTAGAAGCGTGAGCCGAGCAACACCTCCGGGGCTCTGTACCAGCGAGTTGTGACATAATCTTTGAAAGGAATGCCCAGCTGAATCTTCTTAGCAGAACCCAAATCCCCAATCTTAACCACACCTTGCTTCACCAACAAATTTTCCGGTTTGAGGTCACGGTGGCACCACCCATTCTTGTGCATGTGATCTAGCCCAAATAGAATTTGATGACACACATTCCTGATTTGTGCCTCATTGAATCTCTTCTTGTGTAGTTGCATAAATTGAGATAAGTTGCCCTCCATGAATTCAAAGACAAGGGAAGCAGTGCCATCAAATCCCATGAAAGCTTGTTTCAAATTGACAATATTCGGGTGTTTCTTCAACTGAGACAGAGACTCAACTTCCGCCAATTGAAGAAACTCCTCACATGAAGTCAACCTCGATACTTCATTCTTCAGTTGCTTAATTGCAACAATCTCACCAGTCACCCTGTGTAATGCCTTCCATACAACTCCAAAACTTCCTTCACCGAGCGGCTTAAGGAACCAATAATTCTCCATTCAAACTATCTCAAGAAAACAACACAAACCCAACAAAACTCTTAACTCAAGAGATTTCGTCAAATATGGAAATTGACGTTTGCTTAATTGATTTCCTACTGGCTTGCTCACTCACTCAAGGTAGGAAATACTATAGCCTAAATGTTTCTCAATCCTGTAAGGAAAAGGAGTTTTCGTAATTGAAGCTGTTCTATTTTAATTGGGCCCAAAGTTTTTCTACGGTCAACATTTTTATTTAGAGTCAAAGCTTTTCAACGGTAAAGATTTTATGGTTTAAGTTTTAAAGTTTTTAATAAATAAAAAAAGCATATTGAGTGTGCGATGAGTCGTTGTTGTAGCCAGATGCATTCCTTTGTTCTGTCAGTGATATTAAAGTCAGTAACACAATTGATCAAAGGGCACGTAATGTTATTCCTGGTCCAGAGGTGAGATATTGGGGGAGTTTCAGAAATGCTTCTTTTTTGTTTGCTTTGCTTGCTCTTACAATCAACCAATTTCTCTTTTCCTTTTCTCAAATTTGTCTCTTCAATTCGTTTCTCAAAGCCATTTATATTATCCTTTATCTATCTAACTTCCGCGTTAATATTACTATAGGGATTTCTAAGACAGAAGCTGTCCGGCCGAGGTCTCGCATTCATACTTGGAGGTGTATCTGGTATGCATTTCTTGATGCAATAATAAGTCTTCAAATTTCAGATTCAGCTGTTAAGAGTTTGGGACTGCCCCAAATTATGCAGAGAACTTTTATTTCTAGCATTAAGTTGAAGGCATTTTATGCAATCTAAGGTTTAAATTTTCTTAGTGGTTCATTTCCATGTTGTACCATGTTTGCCATATCCTGTTCAGTTGTTTTCTTGGTTTCTAAATATCAATTTAAATGTGCAGGTTCATGTATTTGCCAAATCAGATTACATTTTTTTTACCTTTCTCCTTTCTGTTTTTGCTCTAACCTGTTGCCTTAGATTCTAAACTATACTGTTTTATAGTTTCTTTTTTCTTTTATGAGAAAATAAAGTTAAAACACCATTGGAAAAATTGAATTAGTTGGGATTAAATTATTGAGGGAATTATAATCCACAGATTAACCTTAGGGTCTTTATGGTTTCTCCTTTTGCTAGTTGTACAGAAAAATCTTGAGGTGGGCGAAGTACTATCTGTTGATGTGTCTTGTATAGCTGCCGTGACTGGAACAGTCAATATCCAAATCAAATTCAATGGTACCATGAGAAGAGCACTCTTTGGCGTAAGTTGCTTCAATTTCTTGAACTTTGCACTCTTTTTGCTAGTGCTTGTATTTCTACCACGTAGAGCACTTCCTGGTATTAATATGGTAGGCTGCCAGTGCCAGTGACAAGAAAGATTCAGGAAGTGCTTGTACTACGGAGATAACCAAATTAGCATGATCCTTCTATAGTTGCACTATATCTAAACTATTGCTGTGCTGAAAACGTTTTTTTCATTGCAAATAAAGTTATTCTTGGATCCCCACTTCCATGTTGAAAACCCCTATCTAACATGCTTTCCGCCTCCCAAAATTTTATATCTTAGTTCTGAAGTATGTTATTTCTTTCTGTTTCCAATTTCCATGAATCAAGTTTTCTAACAGTTATCAAATCACAGAATGACAATCTGGTAACGGCTGTTCTAACCGGGCCACGCATCGTCTTCATTCAGAGTTTACCTTTTCATCGATTTTCTCAGCGCATTGCCAGGTAACATTTTCTTGCAACCACAAATTCCTTAGCATAGTCAAGAACTCAAGCTGAATTAGTTTCTTTTATCCTCCGTTTTCATCAATTTCATTTGTTTATTTTCGGCTTTAACAATTAGAACATGTGGTCTTGGTTTACAGGGCGGTTACATCCCCAAACATGAGGGAAAATCCAAAGTTCTACGTGCAGATAGCCATTTTCTTTTTTCTGGCATATGTTGTGATTGTATCTTCCTTAATCTTGACCGATGTATGAATTTTACGTTTTTCTTTTTCTTTTTCATCTCCTATCTACGGAGATACCAGTATCATATCCGTTCTTTTTCATCAGTGGCTGCTGTAGTTCGATTCGATTTCGATATAATCAGATCTATAGAAACAGAGGATTTTAGATTTTTTTTTCTTTTTCTTTCACTTGGGTTTCTTTTGTCTCCTGTCTTAAATTCTCAGTCAATCCTTGGCTTGAAGTGTTCCTGGCAAATCAGTATTAAGTTGTAAATTAAAGCCTTGTGTTATTTTATTTGGGTTTCCATTTCCCCAGCTGTCCTCATGAGAATGCTTTTCTAACATCTCTTCTTATGTACGTTCATACATGATAATAAATTTTAGAGTTTCTTAAGATTCAATGATAAGGAAACCTTGCAATACATGAGACGTGTTACTTGGTTAATTATGGTCATGTATATTTTTTTTTTCCGCTTAATTATGGTCACTATGTGAAATGGATTTGTATGAATTGTGTCTCAATAGAAAAAATATTTTGTTTTGCAACGAAAGAAGTGTGAGGTCTAATAATTAACCCTTTGAAAAGAGTAATGCCATTCCAAACAAAATAATTCCGTACAAAATAAGTTTACATACCAAAATATACCAACATTGTTGAGTAATAATTTTTTCGTAACCTACAAAACATAGTTTAATTACCTCCAATAGCCCAATTAACAATGGAAATCCTTGATGCGTAAGAACTTTACATTTGTATTGTTCAATATAAACCTACTACAAGTTGTAGTGCATACTGCATGGTTTGTGAATTTCTTTGTATAATGGTGCAAACATTGTAAGAATTTGGGGTCATCGTGGGAGGACCTTGGGAAGGTAATGGAAGGCGAAGGTGAAATAGAGATTTGGGTAGTTGATTGCAGTACAAGTAAACCAGTATTTTCAAAAGTTGACATTGCTATTGTATGATGAAGAAGAAGTTGCAAAATATCAGGGGCCGGGCCGAGGGAGGGATGTTGAATCACTTAAGAATTTTGTCTTAGAAGAAAAGGCAGCTACAAAGGCACAGCTTGACAATCAGAATTCTTGCGAAAACACACTTTGAAGAACATGATCATACCATCATGGTGAATAGTCTCTTTACCATGTGATTTGCATTTCCTAACTAACTACTAGCTTTTCTATACTAAAAAAAGAAGAAAAAACTTAAATCTTCACCACTTAAAAAGCTTCTAACACACATGGGCGGGTCTACACATAGTTGATTGTGATTTGATAAATGCATTCCAACACTTCATCTTTGTTAAATCCTGGGCAACTAAAATGATAAATGCAATCAAGAAACAAATCATGTAAAGACAAAGTTCTTATTGAACAATGAGAAAAATGAATATGCGGAAGATAGAGAATTGATCCAATTGAATCGGGCTAGTTGATGATATGCTGGGTGATGTATATTAAGTATACAATAGCATAGGGGAGCCATTGTGTTTCATATGGAAATAAGATCAATGCATATTATCTTTTAAACAGATTTAAGCATTTATTGGTGTCTTGCATATGCTGGTTAGCATGACTGTTTTGTCCACTCGTCCAACTTGGAAGGACATAAACCGGTTCTGCATGTTGACCCCAAGAAGTTCCTGTTCTCTTTCAAATCAGACTTCGATAGGAAGAAGGTGATGAAGGGTTCCCCTTGGACTTTTGATAGAGTTTTGTTGTTACTGACGAGCACTAACAATGAAGTGGACCTGTGTCCGTTTCATTGGATTCATAAAGTTTTTGGGTGCAAGTCGTTATTTCTGACCCTGGCCATGGGAGAAACAATAATAAAAACATAATTACTAATTAACCAAGTGTCAAAAACAATAAAGCCGCGCGGCTATACTATTTTTAAAACAAATTAGGGGAAAACAGGTATAGCCGCGCGGCTATACTATTTTTAAAACAAATTAGGGAAAACGGGTATAGCCGCGCGGCTATACTATTTTATAAAAAAGAATCATCATATAATAGGCCCTTGCAACTCTAATAGTCTATACAAAAATTCATCTACATATTTACTTCCAACCAAAACCCAATTTTGAAAACGGATGCTATGAAGGATAAAAATTGCCCATTTCTTATCACTTATTTACAAAACCCTGCCATTTTTGTTATCCAGTGATTTTTCCTAAACAATCCCTAATATCTAGGCTTTCCATTATTATGGTGTTGCTGGACTCAATAAATCAAAACATTCTCATAATACATATAATATATGTTCATTCATAAATAATATGTATATATAGCTGTACATATAAACCATATACATATAAACCATAATTACATATAATGTAGGTATATTAAAATTAATGTAAGTATATTGGATGTCGTATAATATAGGTAATTTACCTATACATATTTTCGTAGTAGGTATATTATTCAAATGGCAGGTATATTGGATGACATATAACACCTAAATCATAATCGTAAGTACATTAAAATTAATGTAGGTATATTGGATGTCGTATAATGTAGGTATATTGGAATAGATAATTATGTACACTTTTTATATTTTTCATACTAGGTAAATTATATTTTTCATAAAACAAACAATAAAAAGATTATTAGTTATTTTTCATAGAACAAGTAATAGGTACATTATTTTTTCAACATAATTAGTATGTACAGTATTGTTCATAAACAATTATAAAGTAGATTATTAGTCATATATAATTCATAAAAAGAAAATAACATAAACATTTTTATTAAACAAACCGATTACTTAAATATGTATTTATTGTTAAATTTTTAATAAAAATTTTTCCAAATTAATTTCTATATCCATTACAACCATTTGGAGATCTTTCCAAATTCAATGTCTGTCATTATATACAATCCAATTAAAAACTGTTTCCATATTGATTCCTACATTAATATACAATATGCAATAATGGCTTAGTTGGGGGTATTTTTGGAGTCTGAAAAGTACAATAAATCATATTTTATGCTTAATTAGGTAACTTGCTGAGTTGGATCCTAGTCGTGGATTTTTACTTATACAAATTGGGTATTATTTATAGGAACAAAAAGTGAAGGGTTATAGGTACGGCAAATTGAATTTGAAGGATGTAAGCCAAATTTACTAAATAAAAAATTAGTAAAAAGAGCATAGCCCATGTGTCAAAATATGTATAGCCGTGAGGCTATACTATTTTCTAAGACAAATTAATAAAACCGAGTACAGCCGAACGGCTATACAATTTTTATAAAACAAAATTAAAAAACCGGGTATAGTCGCCTGGCTATACTATGGACCCGGCCAGCGTTTAGGGGCCACGTGTCAAACAAGTAAAGCCAAGCGGCTATACTATTTTTTTAAAACAATTTAAAAATCCGGGTATAGCCGAACGGCTGTACTATTCTTAAAAAAAAAAAATCTTATTCAATCTAAGTATAGCCCTGTGGCTATACGATTTATAGATATTAATTTGCTAGTTTCAACATCCAAAGCAGATATCATAGAGAGAGAGAGAACTTCACAGTAAATCAATTAGAGAGTTCAAATTGTTGTTCTGGTTGGCAAAGAGATTACAAAATCACCATCCTGCATTTTTGTTACAACAAGTAAGAAATAATCTTAGCCTCTCACATTCATTCATAGTTAATAAAATACAGAACGGGTTATTCAACAAAATTCTGGCACATTACAACTTAA